CGCCGTCTCCCTTTCCCTTCTACCTTCCAGATATTACTCCTTCGTGGAGAGACGGAAGAAGTTTCACACTCGCAGGCGAGTCGGTCCACAGACGGAACCCGCCATTACCAGGACACCTAACAGGCGACGGCCTCTCTACATCCTGTGATTTGAATTTGAATTTGAACTTCAAGACTTCAAGACTTGACTTGCCCTTGAACTGACCCTTGACTGACCTTGAACGGTGGTTCAAACCAGTACATCCAGTCTGTGATTTGCGTACACATGCCTTCGTGCAGATGATTGCGGCCGATCTCGTTTACCCTGTAATATTTTTTCTCCTTTGCTCGATAGTCCTATGGATTTACATCCATCAAATATGTTTTTTCATCATATCAATATATACGGCGTACGTTGTTTTTTGTTTGATATTGTTTGGTCTCTAAAGGAGGCGTGGGATGCATCGCAAAGTCGACCAACTATCCATGGCTCCAGGCGTCTCGGTTATCAAACCCCTAATGGGCGTCGATTCTTGTCTAAAGGATAATCTCATCAGCCACTTTACACTGGATTATCCAAAAGTGAGTAAGCCAAATGTGCTTAAATGCCATGGCAAATACATTTATGGAATAGTTCAAAAGACGAATTTGTGACGAATCATTTATTTTTGACATGAAACGTTTTTCAATACTTTTGTTCGATATACAACATAAAGCTTTACCCATGAAGAGCAGTTGTGGTTCTCTTTCACCATCCATTGGTGTCATCAGAGCATACGAAGTGTATTTTGTGATATGTAAAAAGAAGGCGAAGTAAGGTTGTTTATTGATTCTGCTTTTATTCAAACTTATAATTTGTTAAACTGCTGCCAATGCAGCACGAGCGTCACTGTCGTTCCCCAAAACCGTTTCGTTTCCCGAAACAAATCGGAAACTCAGTAAAAAAAATTCAATAAAATTTTAAAATGTTATGGTAATATTCTCTCCACTAAAAAAAGCGGTTCCGAGATGTCAATGAAATAATCTAGAATAACTTCAGTAACAGTTGCAGCATATTCTGAACACCTGTACAATAAGCTCCAAAATCTTGACGATTTAGATTTAAATAGAACCGCAGGGCAGGTTAGCCCGGATTTCGCACCATAGTTGTAATTACTTCATAAGTCACAACCTACTACAATCCAGTAATCGTTCGACCATTTTCGAACAAACATTATATTTATAAACGTTGAGATCGGCAATTGAATTTTATAAGGCACTTAGCACTCGTTTTGTAGTTTTCTTGTATTATCAGTGAGATGCCCTTCGGTGACAAAATGTTGACTCGAATGTCCCCCTGTTTTGCCTGGGTGATCGACGTACAAGAACGGTAAAATTGGGAATTTTTATTGCAATCTTGACGTCCCGATAAGCGCCTATCAAAATGGTGGCCATCCACGAACACGTGCTGATTGCCATCGTAAGACTCATATGGGCTGTGGTCCCGTCTGTTATTCCTGAAGTTCTGTCTCCTTCCCAATTTTATTTTATGAAGCGTAGGGTGAATCTCTATGAAAGGGGTTAACCCCATAGTGACATTTTAATGGGTAAACAGTGGCTAAGGTTTGGCAAAAAGTTCGCTTATCCTTCGACGGTGCTCCTGTTACTTCCATTAGACGCTTCATTTCACCATGCTTTATATTTTCAATGTTTATGAATTATGCACACAGCAACCAAATTATGCCAATATGTAGCTGTGTAATAGCAATCTTATTGTGTCGGTTGTGGTAGATCGGCCTATAGTCTTTTTATTTATTTTCATTACCCAAAGCTATCTTTCCGAAGATCCGTGCATTCTAAGATCAGACCGGGGTGGCTCGCTTGAAGTCACTGCGTACTTTGGCGCGTTTATCCAATGATCTTTTCATTGTTATTTTACTAGTAGTTGTCCAAGACGCCGTTATAGCTATTCTTTTGCTTCTATCTGATGGTGGGTTGAATTTGTTTCTACAGAATAAGGGTGTGCTGTCTTTCGTTATCACTAATTTTCAGCTAATCTGCTGTTATTTATTGAAGCTCCCACTTATTTTTTTCTGATTTGCACCCAATTTTCAAGATACTAATACAGTTAATGAAATTTTGGAATTTTGTCACTCATTGCACCGCTAAAATTTTCACATTCAAGTGTAATCTGTCGGCCAGATAAGCTATTTAGGTAACTCGATGGCCTATTGTGTGTTAGGCTCGCTTCTTTCGGGATACCATATCGTCTAGATGTGACGCTGCAGTAACTGATCTCTTCTGGTGATCATACCGCAGCGTGGCTCATAGACTTGTGTATGGTGGAGAGCGCCAGCTAAACAAAACCCCATCATCCTCAGCCACTGCCGTGGGTTGTCCGACAGCTTCATTTGTGAGACTAATCTCACGAAACTACCAGATTGGTGGCCAGCCGCCAATCTGTAGTNTCTGTAGTCTGCTTACGCGCTTGGTACCACATATCTTTGTTTGCAGGATGTATATTTGTAAGCAATTTACGTGTTTTTCGCACTGACCTCACTTTTTATCGCTATTGTACTTGTTCGTTAGGTGCGTTAAGATTTTTCCTGCAACATAAGTTTTATATAGTTCCGAGTTCATCTTTCAATTTGGTGTAGTTCGAAGGAGTAATTTTGTTTGTAAGTTTCGCTAAGATTATTAAGGGATAACGCACAGTGTCTTCCCCACTATTACTTCACGATGTTTAAGATACGACTTTTAGCGTGCCTGTCGTAGCTGCTTTTGGTCCAAACGGGTATTATCCACCGATGTTTATTTCCAATAAGTGACCACGATTTGAATCAAATCAATCTCTTTCCATGAATTTTCGGTGTCAAACTGTCGTCAATTAACTCTGCGAAATTTTGGTGTGCTTTTTAAATTGTCCAAATTAGATCGTGTTCTAAGATAAGCTATCCCGAAGTTTGAATCTTTCAATTGCCCAGGGGAGTTGATTGCTCAAATGGAATAGTGCAGTGATCCAATTTGAATGTAACTATTTCTTTTGTTGGGGCAATTTACAAAGTTTTCAGACATTTTACTGTTTTACCCAGAGAATCACGTCTGATCACTTTTCGTGCGCAATTTTGAGATGCTCCGCTTATACGACACTGCTAGCTTGTCTCCATATCTCCATATCTTTTTCCAAAAAATATTCATCAACCAGGCTTTTACTCTGACCCGATTTAGTTTTGAATCTCACGAAGTTGGCGGCGCAGTGGTTTAGTCGCTGTCGCCCGGTCCGAGGTTCGAGCCTTGTCACCGCCACCCAACTTTGATGGTAGGCAGCTTATCTGTCGTCCCTTTGAATACCACACCTAACCTGGCGGGGCATTATGTGGCTCTCCACTTCAAGTCTCGGGGATTAGGTTACCGGTTTCCATCACCGACTAACAGGTTTTCCCGACCATGGGGTCTACCGCGTCTGAGGTTCATCTCACAAATATGTGTAATAAAGAATCGCGTTTTGCTTAATCCTTTGCCCATGTTTATAATATATTGATAAATGACTACTCTGTCCCCAAAGCATTTTCCAATATGTAGGCGGTAGTCTTCAATGGTCTGCGCACCTATATTATATAACTGTGTCACTTATCTTTCTAGATCCGTGGCCTCTGGTATTTTGTCTACTGTTTTAGAGTTTGTCTGATTATGCTGCGCATGATTGTGCATCTGTTGACCGAAAATGCAAGCGTCTATGCTGGTAACTGCTCGTTGGTTGGGTGCATTTATTGCACATGACTAGCTGTCGTTTACTACACCGTGCCTTGTAGTTGTCACTCCATCTGAGAGAAACTCACTTAAAGGTTAAAGAATGACGTGACAAAAGGCTTGGGGAAACGAAGGTAGAAATTTGGTGGAGTACGTGCCTATCGCTTTAGAAAAAAGGAAGCAAATAACAATGAAAAAGTTAAATGTCAACAAGGAAGAGAACAAGCGAGTGCAAAGACGCAACTGTTCGCAACAATACCAGTGCTTCACCGTGCATTTGATCGTTAATAGACAAGAACACGCTACCTGAAGACCACAGATTGATTTGTCGATTGCGATTTAGCATCAATGGCAGAACCACTGACGGTCTAGTGTAACGCTTCCTGACGTGTAGCTTTATTTTTTACTAACGTCCATGCTTTTTCATTACCTTGAGATTTCGAACAGCTCAAGTTTTCTCAGTAACGAAATTAGATAAAAAATTTCTATTCATTAGTCTAATATAATTATGTTATTATCCTTCTCCGCCATCAACACATGGCTTCTATTTTTTTCTCCGTTGCAGTTTGAACTTTTGTTTTGTGTTCAAGATGAAGATGATCCGGTCATACCCCTAGTCAATTCATTACGGGAACAATACCCCCATGTTGATGCACAACTTCTCATCGGTAAGCATTGTTCGTTTCATTTTGCGTTGGTTTTTCGATGTACAATAAATTTATGGTTGTGTTTCGATGGACAATGGGGCGGAAGATAAAACGAAAGAGCGGCTGGACATGGCTAATATGCGACTACTGGGTTGATTCCTAATTTTCTTTCGTAAAAGAATATGTAACCAGCCACATATTTTGGTTCATTTATTGCATGCTGAAAGAGCAAAGAACGAAGGCGGAAATGCTTCCAGATGCAAATGATGTGGTGGTTGATAAATACTGTCGGAAATTTTCATCCGCACAATGAGGGATAGAAGGACGATTTGGTTTGTAAACTGTTCTTTGCCATCATTTTTCCAGTACAAAGAGTAAAGCCTAACAATCCATTTGGATCCGTAAGGAATACGCTTACTTCGAGTATAGTTCTTTTTCTACCACGGTTTCTCAAAAGAACCCAACGAAAACGTTGAAATATTTGTCTGTTTTATTTTGTTCAGGTGGAACACCGGGAATCGTGAATCCTATGGTACATAATATGGCCCCGGCTTATGCGGTAGCCAAGTATGAATTGGTTTGGATCAGTACTAGTCGAATACTTGGTGAGTTTTTCTCGCGTGTGTGTGTGTTTGCGAGAGAATGTCTCCATTTTCACATTCAGTACCGGGATTACTTTTATACAACAGGAAAGATTACCCAGTTTTTCTTACTGTTTGCCTAGTTGTCTTCAATCGGATTTTTTATGACCAGAATTTTTCCAGATGTGCAATTTGTAAACCCCTCTTTGCTGCATTAAGAATTTTTGAAATTCTCAGGCATCGGCGATCGTTTATTTCTAGGTAACCCACGAACTAATTACCGATGACATCAGCACCAGAATGTGAATTGTTGAATGGCATAAACTAGCTTGTGTTGAACCCATACGTCATTTGATTACCACAGTCCATACACCATAAGGAAACGGAAAGTAGGAATAACGTAAGGTGCTCTTCGACCACCCAGCTCAATTCTGTGAAATCCTTGGTTAATCTACCAGTCCTCATCACGTTGATTCACCGTAGATAAAAACACGTCAGATCAGCACGACTATTGCTTATCGTTTCCGTTATGCATTTATTTATTTCACGAGGGATAGATAATTTGTAATAAATAGTAGAGGAACTAAAACTTGACCAGAAGACCTGGTCAAGTACTCCGCGTTGCACTTCCCGCTTGGGAACCTCGTGACTAGCTTAATTAATGCATTGCATGGTTGTGTCATAAATAGTGGCGCCCATGCATCTACTCATTGCCCGCACATACATGCACACGCATATACATATATATATATATATATATATGTGTGTGTGTGTGTGTGTGTGTGTGTTTGTGCTTATAGTGTGTGTTCGCATTTTTAATCTTTATCTTTCTACTGCTCCTAGCCTTTTGCTCTCTTCTTTTGGCCCTTTATTCACTCATCGACCAAATGGGTAGTCGAGGGACAGCAAAGCATATGAACACACAAAAATGCAAGCTTATCCGAAAAAAACTGAAAACAACCAATTGAAACCAAGACAAGGTTGAAGTTGATCGGTTTGTTGTGCTATACAGCTTTGTAAATGGAAACTAACAGATTTTTTTCCATATAAGATCGATTTGTGATACCTAACCTGTGTGAATTCCATGCTACATCTGCTTACCCTGATGCTATTTACCTGCAATCCCTTGGGGGAAGAAAAAGAGTGCACGGTTTGCTGAGTAATACTAAAAAGTATCTGGTTTCAATGTGTCATATGGGGTAGATGCTCTAATTATTTTCGATCTAGCTCGTGGTGACATTATGTTCACAGTCTTCTTTGCCTTTTATCGCGAGATTTCGATCGACGTTACCTCCGGTTGTCATTCTGTTGGGTTGTTTCCTACCAGATCATATTGATAGTTAACAAAATTGATTCTTAGATGATAACCTTCCCCTTAGCAGTTGTTTAGATTTGAATAGCATTGATCTGTGAAGCGCATATAACGATGCCGGAGGCTTTGGAGTATCGCATGTTACGACAGTTTAAAAGAATGTCTTTACTTCCTTTTTTATTTATTGAATATACAAATGTATAGACAGCTTTCAGAAAGAGAATCGCGGCTATACAAAGGTTGTTCGGTAAAATAGAGAAATGGGTAAGACAGGCACCGGTGGAGCGGTTTGAACCCGGGAACCCCCGGGTTGTAATTTGGTGACCTAGCCACTTGGCCACCAACGACCAAAGAGATGGCAAAACAATGATGCTTTCATTTGATCATTGGCTGCAATTTTATTTAACGAATTTACGGGGACAGTTACACTGAAGAATTCCACCAGGCTGTATCAAAGCCTTAGGCACATCTGTCTGTGTGTGCGTGACTATTTCATACTGAAGATGAGCAGATTAAAGTTTATCTAGAACTATTTAAAAGTGAAATTTCCAACACCATCAGTTTTGGGTGTTCGGAAAATGAATGGATTAGAGTACGAAGTTGGTCCAGTTGCTCCTAACATTGTCTGGAATATTATTCGACCAGAAATTGACTGATCTATTTCTACGTTCTGTATATATCTAACTTGAGCGATTCGTAACCTAGAAGAAATCTGGAAGCGCGAAAGCAATTGACCTGGATATTCTGTCGCGCCGCTTACGAAAATGAATAACGAGGAGTATCACGTACCTCACTGGTGAGCTCCCCTCAAGTTATTCAGAACAGATTATCAAAATACCTGCAGAGAGTAACCTAATATAAAAGAATTAGTGAACACGAAACTAGGTCATGAACGTCAGCTTGAGTTAAAATAAATACTAACTATTTCTGGGTGCTACAGGACAAGCTATGATGATGAAATTGTGGAAAGAGTCAGATATTGGTTAATAAACAGTTAAAAGTTAAGCTAAAGAGGTAAACCGGTAGATTCCAGCAGGTATCGTTTGCGTCTTTGACCAAAGTCCTACAGAATACGATCAATGGGTGTAATAAAATACGCCTTATGGGAACACTTGACTGGGAGACTAAAACTTCTGATATGTAACTTAAGGGTACTGGAGATAGGCAAACTTTGATCATTATCGAAAATAGAATGTGAATTGAAACATTCCCGAAGAAACGGATAAACCCGAAAACTCAGCGAATTATTCAAGAATTCATTACATTGGCCTTAATCCGAAATTTTCCATTCCCAGACGAATGTTCCAATCCTCGTTTGGAAGAATACTCGAGCCAGGTCAACTGCAAAATCCTGCTTCTCAAGTTTGAGTTCGCTCCCATGAAAGTCCAGAAGAAGAAAGGTAACTCCGGTGGTATAGATCCGCGATGAGAGCCGAACTGTAAGCTAGCACACCTTTGAAATATCGATGATTGGTCGGAGGTCAGAGATCCGTGGCCCAATGCACCAGGGCTAGAAACTAAGCGATAGAAGCTCAGCGGAAGCTTAAAGGGCAATTTGAGACCTAACTGGTCAGCTGTACTAAATGCGAGCCAAGGACGCATCACCATTACGGCCTGACAATAGTGGCAAGAAAGCAAAAGTACAAACCAGAAAATTACCTTCCGATATGCCTCTCTTGTTTCTTATACAAATCCTTGGAACAATCATCAAGATCCCAAAGGATGGGAATTCACTCAACGCAAAATAATAGACGCGGCTTAACACACGAGTTTAGGAATGGAATTTTTCGTCCTAACTACTTGCTGCACTTGCTCACATGATGTCACAGCAAGATTTTCCAGTCACCAACCATTAGTTAATGTTACTATCATTGCGATTGCCTGTTCGCGTGTATGGACATTTGTGGATTCTTATTCAGTCCAGCACCAGCATCATCTTTCCGTATCTTTAGTATGGAACAACTAACCGAACGAGAACACCGTAAAATCCATTGGACTGCCAATGTGATCATATTCGGTGGTAGTCGCACGTCAGGTGCACTTTTATCTCTTTAGGCTTTTTCTTTCCAACGACGTGGGTTGAAAACACGCGGGTTCATCTGTATGAATTATTAGAAACACCAAAACACTCCACCGGAGTAAACCACACAAAACAACTTGGTCTCAGTATGCAGATTAACTGACACCTAAAATTTCTCTTGGTGATTACAGTCCAGATTGTTTGGCAGTCTTCGTCGCCAAAGGTAGATTTTCCCTAGACTATTTTGTCTGTGCCACTTCGTATTTCACAACATCAACTGGCTGACGTCAGCACAGACGGAGTCGTGAAAGCCACATGAGGTATGAGGGAGAAAATGACGTCTACGAAAGCAGTTCCAATTATACGTGCGATTATTTATTATTCTATTTCTGTACCCACGGCAACCTGAGTGCCTCATGCGCGAACCACGTCATTCTGAAATTCGTCGATCATAATTGATCCACATCTAGTTCACAGGCTCCCACAGCACCTCTATTCCTGCCGTTCGGACTGAAAGCGCTTTGTGGCAGTCAGCTGACAAATTATGTAATTGTCACTGTCCTCGAGGTCAAGCCCTTTTCGATGACGTTTTCTCGTTCTGTATGTTTTCATTTCGAATGTATGCCTTACCCCCTTATTTTAACTGTCACCATTAATTCAATCGGTCTTGGGTTGAAAATCCTTGAATTTGGTGTTTCCGTGCTGTCTGTCATCATTATTCTCCTTGATACCTTGATGAACTGATTCCCCGTTATTCAAGACTCCTGTTCATGCCATCTCAACAGCTGATAATCCTTTATGAAATAAAGTTACGCGGTTCAGTTTTGTGCATGATTGTATATACTATGTGATATCGCCTTCTTCGAGAAATATCGATACAGTTAGTCCCTATTATCATTCTCATTATTATCACTCTTATCGTACCCATTTCCGCCTTCCTGCTTGTTTCGTGGTGTTTGTTCGGTTGTTTTGTTTGATCAGCTGAGTTTAGTCATCATCAACCTCATGGTAGGTTTTATACGAGTCTGATACATTATTCACCGGACCTATATGAACAACCAATTTAAATACCGACGTGGGTTGTTATGGTGAACGCATGTGATTCACCGTTTATGCTATTCTGTGCCAAATGCCAGAGCACGAAAATACAATAGGATTTAGCTACAGCACCGATTTACATTCAGACTGTGTAAACTTTGCTCAAGTTTCACCCGATTTCTTCGCTATTCCTATGCATGAATATGGCCAGGCATGTGCAGTCTTTATCGGTCCCGTCTGTTGTCCACTCACGTGATTGTGATTTTGAGATTCTGTGCCCCCCCCATGGCTTCGCCAAACGGCATACAATCACACTTCCTTATTGCGCACGTTTTTGTCGTCGTGCACGTCCCGTCAAATACTGTGAATGATGCGCATTAGAAAAGTCAATGACTAAGTTGCTTGATCACCAGTCTCATCCCGAGCTGGAACAACAACAAAATAAAACGGTGGAATGCTCAGTCTGTTACTATAGTTTTGGGGTGTGGCGCATGAACAACCATATTTTACGTTCAAAGCCTCCTGACTGCAATCATTTCTGCAATGAACTTATCCAGCCGCTCTGACTTTACATGATCTATCTCCTAACAGTAAACTGTTTTATGCTCGCCAGGGTCATCTACGGTTCCATCAGGACTGGCGCTTTTATTGTACAAATTTACATGTTTCTTATTTGTTAAGTCCTCTTCGGTGCGACACGATAGTTCTATCTGAGGTCTTATTTGTCTTCAGGTTTGATGTACTTGCATCATCTTTCCAATTCACTCACTGTTGTAGGCTTAAAGTCGATCGAAGTGCTCTTTGCTGGTCCTCCGTACGTAGCCAAAACGTTGGAGTTTCACTTGATGCTTAGTATCAGGAGAAACCGATATGAATGAATTTCAGTTGGTGAAAGGCAGCTTTACTGTCGTACGTTTCACTAAAACACCTAATCTAGCGGGGCATTATGTAGTTCTCCACTTCAAGTCCCAGGACTTAGGTTGCCGGTTTTCATCACTGAACAACAGGTCTTCGCGATTATGGGGTCCACTTCGTCTGCTGATCATCACACGAATGTATGTAATAAAAAACATTAGGCCTAAATAAAAGGGGATGTTAACTGTTACATTCTCATTATCGCTGTTTTTTTGCTTGAGAATCAGCTACTGTCTATCTACGCAATCGGATGTTGTTTATGGGATAGAATGATGTAGATGATTTTGTTTTTATAGCGGGTAAAGTTTACAAAATTCGTTGCAATAGAGTTAATTTCTGGCGCACATTCTCGAATAACCTGACTGATTGGCGAATTAAATACTTATCATTCACGACTGATCACCTAAAGTGTTCTTTATCTTGATTAAACGGTACACTTATCTTTCGTGGTGCTTGAGACGAAACTGGTCGTTTTTGAGTCTCGTTATCCAGGTTCTCAATTATAATGTGCCTGTTAAAGGTAACATAATTTAGTTATTTAGTAATTCTGGTTGCCCTTCACTCAAGGTCCTTTTTCTTCTTTCTGAGTTGCATCCATTTTAGTCCACCCAAAGCATATCCATTTCTACCGAAATTGGGAATATTGACTTTTTATGACCGAGACTTTTTCCTAAACTGAGCTTTCTTAAAGATTTGATAACTCCTTTACCTACCAGCGAACTTGTTGGTAATATCACCCTTGGGAGTACTCAGAAACTGAGTTATGACAGTCATGGTTCAATGATAAAAGTAATGATAGTAGTAGTCACGCCTAACCGTAGTCAACATCGTAGTGATAATAATAATAGCGAACTGGTTGCTTATGTTATTTGACCTACAACCAATTTACTTTCAATTTTCAGGTGCTGAATCGTCAACAGTCAAAATGTGCAATAGAGAGCGAAGAGCTGGGAAGTAGCTCGACGTGATGGGGTGCGAGCCGTGGAACCAAGGAACGAAAGGGCGGTGAATTATACCGTTACAAACTTTCAACTCACTTACGGGTTTAGCTAGCATAGGGCGGGCACTCTGTCTAGTCAGATCAAGCATCCATCTATCCACGTGACACGAAGGCATACCGGGCGGTAAAATAAAAGACTTCATCATTGTGGTGCATGAAAGAAGTTTACCCCTCGTGTCACTTAATCCTTGCGTTGTCCGATCTTCATGGTCCCTGATCGACTATCGTTGATCCCATATACTAACAAATCCATGCATCTGTTTGTATTGAGTTAATCGATTATTGACGGTGCATTGGTAGATCCGATGAATGCATTGTTAGCGAAACAATCGGCACTGCACCAAATTATTACGCCAATAACGCTATGCTGCTTTCGACTCATAGTCATCACTTGAAAATGGATGATCACTTCAGATCCAATTGTTAACTTACCCACTAGGGGCCATACCCAACCCTGTCCGGTCGTCTAAGTTGTCATTTATCCACTCACAAAGGAATCGCGATTTGGAAACCGTTGATCTACCGAACAATAGTCTCTAGGGTTCACGTAATATGAAAATCCTAATGCAGGAGATAATTTACATCCTGCTGATTTGGCACTACACGCGATAGTAACATATCTCGGCGGTGATCAAGCGATTTGAGGCCCGGCAATCACCACACCGCGGAAGTTTCACAGTCGTATATCAAGATCGACGCCCTTATGTGGTTCGCCACTCCAAAGCTTAAGTTGCCGGTTTCCGTTACTAAGCAGTAGGTCTCCGTGACTGAGGACCACATTTACGTAGTTTAGCCCACATTGGATGGAGCGAACGGGTTAGTAACATGGAGGTAAGCCGTCGTGTGTTTGGGAGTCCATCAGGTATAAACCTGCTGGCACACCGAATTCAGATTACTAGGCTTCGCTGGCTAGGGCACGTATTGCGTGCGTATGCCCAGCCATCGTCTGCTTTATTCGCTGTAGCTAGTCCGGGCTGGAGAAACCACGTGGAGGTCAACAGATGACGTGGAGACGAGGCATGAAGAAATGCACAGAGCCATTAGGTACAGTAAGTGTCTCGTGCCCTCCAGGTTGGGGTCCGATAGACTCTACAACTGGTTGATTGGAGTCATTGAAGGATATGACAGCGAACCGAGAGCAGTGGCGTTCTTGTTGTTATTTCTAATCAGGTCATAATGCTTGAAACAGTGTGTATGCAGAGTTGGATTGCGTATTCTGTGTGTTGACCATAGTGGCTCATCTTCTCCCTCCTTCAAAATAGGTCCAATCCCTGACCACCTTAAATTTTATCACTAACCTTGTATGCATTGCGAGTTTGGCAGCGATCGGCGAAGTTCGCCTCGCTGTATTTCGCTGTACGATGATGATGATGTTGATGCCAGGATGATGCTGGTCCATCACACAAGTGTGTGTAATGAAAAAATTTCCTAACTCCTCACTGTGATTAGTCGCGTC